GCTCAAACCGAAATCACGCTGTAAGAGTGTGATTTGTGTTTTGATCATGTGTATCGCTCTCTTGGAGGGAGCCCAACATTGAGGAATCAATGTTGTGAGGTCGTTGTTCTGAGCATGGTTTTCCATCGAAGTTGACAAGTTCAGTGACTTTTGCATGATCGCTGGCAATAAAGAACAGGCCAGGGGGGGCAGGGCGACTCAATAAAAACGAACACTGTGAGACACAGGTTGAGCAGAGTGACGCAGGTTGAACAGATCAATTGCGTGGCAATTGCATTACTGTAGATAAGTGAGGAAGTGTGTGAATGGAAGAGTTGCTCCATGGTTGTTTTGGTTCAGATGTGTCTTTCCTTGTCCGTCCTATTTTTTGGTTCTTTATGACTTCTTTCCAAGTAACATTATCCCACTGCTCAATTGGCCTAGTGCCATGGTTCCAAGATTATCGTTGCTCGATTAGCTTTGGTTATAGTACGGCGCTGTAAAGTGCCAAACAGTTTGATTGGTGCGCTCAAAAGCTTTCCGCCAGGTTCACCTGAACTCTGGCCCAACGCTCAGAGTTTTGACTTTAGCACGGCGCTGTAAAGTGCCAAACATTTGTTTCGTGTGGTCAACAGCTTCGGCCAGGTTCACCTGCGCTCTGGCCCAACTCTTAGAGTTTCCAACGCGCCAAGCTTCCAGGGCAGTTAACTGTCCTATACTTTTTCAAGAACTTATATTGTCTATCTACAGGCATGAGAATCTCATTCAAAGCCAACCGCCTTGCTAAAAGCAAAGCAGTTCTTTGGATAGACAGGAGGGTTTTAACGCACATGCCATGTATATTATGGGGTTTGAGGCTTCTAATGTTTGCCGCTGTGAGAGTGGCTGTGAGACTATACTCCTCGTTCAAAACTGTCAGCTCAGGCATGTTGAGACTCACCTGGAGAGAGTTAGAGCGTCTTGACTGCAGCATGAGGTGTGGCCCTCAGGGGCTGTCCAAAGCTGTAAAGTTTTGTTCAGCCCGGTGCTGGAAAGTGCCAATGACGCTGTAACAGTGTCATGGCGCTGTAATAGTGCCTGGACCTACAGCATGACCTTCAAAGAGAACAAGAGCCCGGGGCCTTCAGGGACTTTCTCAGTGAGATCACTTGGAGGCGGGTCTTTTCAGGCAGGATTACGCATACAGCTGCAGACGATATGGCCTGTAGAATGTATATATATACACGTTTGATTTGCGTACATATATATACATATATATCAAAATTGTTGTGGAACCAATTCAGAGGTGGCCTTTTGCCGTTGTCTAGTGACATTGTAGACGTATGTACATACAAATATCGACGCTGTCGTTTGTTGATATACACATATGTGTAACAACAGGCATGTGTACACGGTAAAGTGTCCAAAAAGTGTCCAGCGCTGTTTTTCAAACCTCCTAGTAAACAACAAGTGAAGCCATTAAAAAAAGCTGCGGAAGCATCAACATTGCTGCACCCTGCAACAGAGCGCCGGCTGAGAACTTAAGCTTTTTTTTGAACATGTCATGTCACAGTTTTGACACTGTAAAGTGTCATACCAGGATATAGGCATAGGGCTGCGCGCCACTGCCTCTGCCCTTTTTCGACGATGACTCTTTTTGAAATGACAGGTTAGAAGCAAATCGGTGGACGCTTTGGCCGCGTTGCGGGAGATTCGGGCAGCAGCAGCAGAAACGCTGGAGAACGGACCCAGCGGCGTGCAAGTCCCGTCGGCGCGCGCCTGCTTGGTCAACATCCTTTCAGGTCAAGAATTGTCGCAGAGCAGGAGAAGATCCTCAAGCTCATTTCGGTACACCGATCCTGCGGTGCGCTTCCATCAAGATTTCCGTCCAAACGAAAAAATAATTCTCGAAATCTGCCTTGGTACTTCTTCTGCAGCTGGCGCGAAGATGTCCTCCCATTGCATGGGCTCGCGGACGCAATGGAACGGCTGGATGTGTGGCACCAGCTTCAGCTCTGGTCAGCATGTCCCAGATGCAGACCATGCCTGGACCATGTGCTGATCCAACACCAGTGGTTCCCCCAAGACGGGAATTCGGTTTTGAAAGAGAGCAGGCTTGGCTGTGATCCAGCCGAAGGCTGCTAAAGCTCCGGAATTGCACGAGGAAAAGCAGGATTGCGAGTTCCACGTTTTCATTGTGTTCATTACAATCTGAACCTTGGATTGGATTTGACCTTGACCTTATTAGGTATGGACCTTCAGGCTGGGCGACTGGGTTTGCTGTTGAACGGGATTTCAAGCATTGGAAAAGAAAGATCAATCTCAGAGTGGCAGGCGAATCAGAAAAGGGGTTGACGTGCAGAGTGGCCAAGGGTTTGAAGAGCAGCGACAGGGTTTTGGAGATGATCAGCGGCCAGGCTTATGCAATCAGAGCCAAAAGGGTTGTAAGTCTAGATCAGGGGTGGATCACCTAGTGCCTGTTTCTTAGGTAGATTTTCGATTTTTATGACTTGGGGTTGGAGCTGACTTTGGTTTGTGTCCTTTTGTTGGTGATTTGCTTTGGCCACTTTGGCAGGATAACCTTTTAGAAGGTTTGGTGTGGCTAGACGTGGCTAGGAGAAGCCTAGAGAATTTTTTGGTAGTGCAGCGTGTACATGGAGATTGTTTGAGATAGTTCTCTTTAGTTTTGAGTAGGTTTGAGATGATTGTGAACAGTCTTGACTCTTGTAAGAAGAGGTGACAAACAAGCTTTGGAGAAACTTTGAGAACCTTTGAGACAGCCTAAGCCGACTGTGACTTTGGCTCAAGGAGCGGGATCGAAAAGGGAAGCTTGCGCGACCGTGTTTTCACAGAGATGCCAAAAAGAATTATGCGGTGCTATGAAAACTTTGTTTCAGCCATTATTCGAATGAAGTACTCAAGAAGGTGATTCACATGAGCATGGTTTCAGGTGCGCTTGATGCAGCTGGTGGAGCGCACTTGAACTCAGAAGAACAGTGCAGATCATTTCGTGATGACTGTGTGTGTGGCACATTTCTGCTGGGATGGTTGTGTGGCAAACACTTGGCCGAAGGAGCAGTGGTCAGAAACCCACGAAGTTCAGTGCTGCCAGAGACAACTGCTGTGTCCGTTTTTTCGGACAGCCAAAGAGCTTCAGTGACCAAAGAGTGTTCACCAGGTGTGAGTTTCTTAGGGGGGGCCGCAATTTCCAGCAGTGGCTTAGCGTCTTCAACCACACGAGTTGCGCCAGAGCCCATCCATGAAAATTCAATCAACGAGCGCTGGAAAGTCGCAGAAGACAGGGCCCGGGCTGATCCCTTTTGAAACAAAGAGTCCGGTTTGTCCGTGCGGAAGGTGCTTGAAGAAGGTGTTCTCAGTCGGGCTGATGCTCCAAAACTTTGGGCCCGATGCAACTTGCGGAAAATAAGTTCATGGGCAGAATGTCTCGCAAAGCCTCAACGCCTGTCACCGAACCCGCAATTTTGTGCAGGACTCGGCCTTGTGCTGCGCAGGGAGACCTCGCACCGTTGCAAGCTTCGAACCAGACAACTTGCATCCTGTCCGAATCGTGATGGGCCATCTGAGTTCGTGGCAGGTTTCCTTCCCAAAAGGTTTGTGAGTGTCTTGGTCAGGGCAAAAAGAACACCATAATGTTTGAGGCGGAAATGTGTGCATAAATGGTGGGTTCGGAAACTTGGAGCAACCAGATAGCATCACTGCAACTCGTAGACTATGTGGACAATGACGCTGTCAAAGGTGCCGTTGCTGCTTTCAATGATGGATCTGGAGCGACAGGAGTATTGCTTGACAACGCAATTTTGTTGGAATCTTCCGATCCTTCAGGTTCTCAGGTGGATAGCCAAGTGCTTCCAAATCGAACATCGCAGATGGTCCTTCTTGAGGAGATGTCAGGATGCTCGCAACTGACTTGGCATGTGCGGGTGTTTTGTCAGACACACGGCAAGAAAATAATCGGACTCACCATATTACAGGTGACTCAGTGCTAGCTTTGCAGACGTTGGCTCAGGGAGGGAGTTCCTTTGCGTCGTTTTGTTTGACGGCTTTCGTTCTCCTTCTCAGCACACCCGGAAGCCTGTTCAATGCCTTTGTAGCTGTATTGACCGACCTGGCCCCCTCAGCGTGGTTCTTTTGGACAGTGTTTGAGCGCGCGTTCTGGCACATGCAAAATCTCAGTTTTTCTCCATCAGCACCTGCCCGAAACACAAAGGAACCAGAAAGCAGTGGCCGTCCTGTGTTTCCCAGCGCGTTCGCATTGTGTGTTTTGCTTTTATCTCAGCTTGTTTCTTTGTCCTTCCCAAGTTGAACCGAAGGGCGGTGGGATGTCGAAACCGTGAGTGTTTTGTGTTTGCTTGAGCAATTGCAAGGTTGTAGCCCAGAGCAGTCAAGCCTCCCGTTCTTTGGGGAGCCATGGGTCCGGGTATTTGTTTGGAACCTAAGTATTGTTGGATGGAAAATGGCAGTTGCTTGGGGGAGTTCTTTAAATGTAGAGCCTTCACCGCGCAAATGTTTGATTTGAGCTGCAAATCTTTTCAGGCACGCCAATTTCTGGACAGGACGTTGAATGAATTTTTGTGCACTGCGTTTCAGCCGGCCCCGAAGTATTTTACAAGGTAGAAACCGCACTAGATGAGACCTTTTTTTTGGTACACTGCGCTTCGCGGATTGAAGCAATCGTGCCGTGCACGTTACATGGAACACATTGCGCATATGTAATTATGTAAGGACGTTGATAACAAGCTTGCAAACCCTGCTGCCAATGAAATTCTGAGGGCAAACTGCGTTTACTAGTTTGACATTTTTGAAGATCTTGGTCGTGTGTGTTTATCAGCTTCGAAATGTCAATGTTACGAAACATTTGTGTTGCTCAGGGAAGGTGCAGAGGTGGTGACTCTTTCGGTTCAAAAAGACTGCGTCGTGAGACATTGAAGGATCAAACATTTTTTTGCAACTTAAAAACAGTTCGCCAGCTAGAAACTAGAAACCAATACTGTATATTTTAGTTCAAGTTATCAACGGCTGCCATGATTGATGAACGGCAGATGGTCGTGCCGCAGGGAGGCCACTTATAGCTGTGTGATTTGCGATTCAGCAATTGCATCGAACGAGTTCTTTTGCAATACATCCATTTGCAGTGGTCGCCAGGTGGAATTTTGGGACGTTTTGAAAATGTGCGGGTCAAGAAGAGTGCCAAAAAGACGGTAACATGCGATGTTGGCTGCTCAGCTGTGCAGACAATTGTTCCTATGTCCTTACTGTTCTGTTCAAAAATCACTTGAGCAGCCAAAGAAACATGTATTCATCACATCCGACACAGATTTATGATTAGGCGTTTCTTGGCCTTTTGCGTTTTAGCAACGACAAAAAGGTTTGATACATCATCAGTGGTTGCATTTGGTTGGTGGAAGAAGGAGTTTGCCTATATAATAAGTGGAATCGGTGTCAAGCCTAAGTGATGGGTCAGGGCTATATACAAGTTCTGAAGGTCTCGAAAATCCCTATCACGCGCAAGGAGTCCTCTAAGATAAATGTGTTCATATATATATATGCACATGGGTAGCTGCTACCCACCTGAAATGTCAACCTTTCTTGTTTGCTTTGTAAGCTAATCCTACAGCATTATTATAAAGGACAGTTAACTGATGATGAATTTCAATCCAACACTTTAATGGCAAGAACACATATATATATATATACCCATGTATACATGAAAAATATAAATGACGATAATAGAACAACAATATGTATTATTCCTATAGGTAAAGTATCAGTGACTTGGGAAACACATATTATATTAAGGAAGAAAATGAAGGGAAGACAGAGACAGCAGAACAGAAGAACATATTAAGCTGTGTTTATTCCATTTTGCTGTTTCTTTATATTCTCCATGTATTTTCCATACAAGCTTTGCTGCTCTTGTTCTTACAGAATTATATGGTGTAGATAGATAGAAAGCATAGAGTTTCTCTATAAAATATAATGATTCTCATCTCTTTATTCTCATAACATATAGCATTTTATCTAATAAAAGCAATTAATAAGAAAGAAAAACGGATAGAATGATCCAACAAAAGGCAATATATATATATACATACATACACATCCATGCATATGTATGTCCTGTTCATGACATGACCTCGTACTCAGTTTTTTCTTGAATTTACATGCCAATTACACAACGTTGGCTATCTTGCAAAGGGTGTGCAAATCCTAGAACCGGTTAAAATTGCGTGGTGTCCCAACAAGCGTTTGGGACACCTTTCTGACTCAGCTTTTCTTGACATGATTCCGAAGTTCCAGAACCCTCGAGCAAATTCAGTCAGAAAGCTTGGACACTTTCTTGCAACGATGGGGTGCTCACTTCGTCTGCGAACTCAAGAATCTTGCAACATGTCCTGGAACATTTATATAGAGCCGTTGCTGCGAGAACCTTGCTTCACCCATGCAATACAACAGGAACCTTGTCGCGAGTGTTCTTTGGCCAGACTTCAAAAGAAGCTTCCGACCCAATAAAGACAGTTCCCATCCCGCCAAGAGGGTTCCAAGCTGCCCAGGCAAGCTGCCCGCGTTCCAAAAGGATCCTAGTTTCCCAAGCAGCGTTTCTTGTGGTCGTTGAATAGTTTGGCCAACATGGTGTGGTCAGATTTCACGCCACTGCGCTTCTTTCTTGTGGAGAAGAGGCACCTGCACAAGAAACTTGTTTTGTGTCAGTTTCACTCAGTTGTGGCTCTTTGCCCATTTGTAGGCCTATGAAAATTGTCCACAAAAGGTGACAAGTTGAATGATGTCTGCATGTGTTCAGCCGGGTCTTGGAAGTGGAAGCCCATCATTTTTCCAAGGCAGCAACTCCGGAGTATCTCCGGTATGATTTTCTGAAACCCCAGCAGGAATCTTGGAAGTCTATGAATAGAAAGGAGGCAGCCATTGCGTCCTGGGCGTCACTGAGGCATTTGCCAATCGAGCGTGTGGATGAGGAAGCCAACTTTGCTGCTGCCTCCAACATCAATGAGACCCGTTTTCACAAGGACATTCAATTTGAAGCATTTTGTGAACGGAGAGCAAAGAGTAGGGCAGAGAGACGCTTTTGACAGCTAAATGACTTCAATTCGCACCACCTTCAATAGCTCCTTCCTGGAAGGGCTTTCATCGCCGGCACCAGTCTTGCTCTTAATGTTTTCAACCTGATTTGCAGCCAGACAGCTCACGGCTGAGATGTTGCTTTGCCTCCAGCGCAGGGCAGACATTCAGCAAGATGCTGCAAGACTGGAGCACGAAGCGGCCGTACTGGCATGCTTTGAAGTTATGGTTGCCAAAGGTTTGCTTGGTGTGAGTGACGATCAGTTTATGTCTATGTATCTACATATGGGTTTGCAGGCACGGGAGCAAGCTCGAGAGGACTGCTTCAAGCCCTTGTAGACCGTAGACAGGTTTGGGTAGGTCCTGTTGACGGACAGATGCGGATCCTACTGGCAACAAGTTATATATATTTGTTGGTTTGTATCATCTTTTTAATCTTCCCCATGAAGCTCCGCAAGATCTTTGATACTTTGGTGGCTTGCTTTGAGTGTTGTAGAACCCCATCCCTCCAGGGTGCTCGCTTGGGAGCTTGGGTGCTGGTGCCGCTGCAGGGTGTTGCTGAGCTTGGGTGCTGGTGCCGCTGGGCGCTGCCCGTACAGCTCACAATGTTCCATTTGCCATAGCGAGAGCTATTGGGTTTTTTGCTTCAAGTATAGGAAGAGGTGCTTGTGTGCACTTCGGAGCTTGGGTGCTGGTGCCGCCGCAGGGCGCCGCTGCCAGATGTGTGGCCGTGTGCGCTTAGATTGGGTGGGTGCTGCTGTTATGGTGCTGCCGATTAATATCTATCTGGGATTTATGCTGGCGCATTTCCACAGACAGTGAGTGTTGGAGTTCTTACTTCTGGGGGTGGTTGCTGCCCGTACAGGCGGAGGTGCCTGTCTGTGCATTGGAGCTTGGGTGCTGGTTCCACTTCAGGGTGCCTTTGCCAGATGTGTATGACCGTGCTTGATTTGGGCCTGTGCTGGTACCGCTGCACGGTGCTGCAGGGTGCCGGTGCAGGGTGCGGCTGCGAGATGTCGATGACATCGTGCGCTTTGGGGCTCAGTTGCAGGGTGCTGCTGCCAGTGACTATGGCAGCTCCTTTAGGTTGGACAGCCATAGAGGCCGATGAAACTAGGAACGTGACAAGGGGCGTGTCAGATGCAGAGCTGTGCCAGTCACTGTCAGAAGGAAGGTGAAAAGGCAAAACAGGCTGTCCGTTTTTGTTTTCGCAGGCCCAGTCTGAAAAATGTACCCCTCAATCTGGCTCGTTGACAGGAGCATGCACTTTGCGTGGTGGGTCAAGGGGATACCCTTGGCCAAAAGTATCTATATACCTTGAATGCGGAGGAACGTTTTTCTGGTCGGTTGTGCTTTATTTTCTTGTTCTATTTTTTTTGTTCGGAGTTGACGTCTGAGTCTGGTGTGGGTGGTGTGGGCGCTCTTGTATGATACTTTTGTGCGATGTGCAAAGTGCGACACTCTCGCCTGACACTCTTGATATGCAAAGCAAGCCTTTGCGTCACTCTTGCTTGACACTTTTGTGGGACACTATTGCGACTTGTGCATGACACTCCTAGGACACTCTTGCTTGACATGTTTGGTGTGACACTCTTGTTTGACCCTCCAACACTCTTGTGCGACTTTCTTGTGGTTGCTCAACACTCTTTTATGTGATGCTCTTGACACTCTTGTGGGAGACTGTTGTGCGACACGCTTGTGGGAACTCTCCTACGGCACTTTTCCAGGATGCTCTTGAAGGACACGCGTGAAATGTCCGGAGTGGGCGTTTCGTACGAGGCACCTCCAAAGAAGCACCAACCAAAATGCACAAAATAATGTGCCCCCACAAATTGACTATGACTACGCGACACCAGCAAAACTGGCACGGTACTACACACGTGGAATGATTTGAGTGCTTTGTTGCTTCACCCGCACCAAGCAAAATCACAGTTTTTGGTTGAGATTTGTCTGGAAAACACGTTTGGACCAACTCGTCAAAAAACCCAATACACATTCAACACCTCGAAAAACCAGCCCGGCGATGAGTGATGACTGCATCCACGACCTCCAATTTTTTTCCAATTTATTTCCAATTGGAGGAACATACGTGCGATACAAGCTACAAATAGTTGCCGACGGCAGAGCAACGTCGCGCGAACACAGTTCCACCAAGTAAGAACACTTCGCTACGTAGTTGGGAAATACACACTACTATATAAAGCCACAAATAGATAACAAATATATACTGTATATACTAAAAACAAATATATTTAGTATAGGGGGGTAGGCCGCTGGGAGGGAGAGGTAGCTAGTAGCTAGAGGGAGGTACCTAGTAGTTTAAGTAGCTACTAGTATGGACGCAGGATAGCTCGCGCTTCTTCAAGGAAGCTCCCCCCGCCGCCCTGTCGAAGCGCTCGCACTAATGATTTGGTTCCTAGATTTTTAGGGAAACTTAAGCTCTTGGCGTCTTGTCAGCCAGTACCTCACATGCCGTTTTCCAGCTGCTGTGCAGCATTTGCAGGACCGAGTGGCTGGACAGATTGCAGCCGCACGCCAACTTCGTGAAAAGCTGGATGCTGAAAATAATCAGGGGAAGACTCTGGAGCTTCAGCATGTGAAGGAAATACAAAGAATAGACCCTAAATGTATTTATATGCAGAGGTATTTGACTCTTGACTCTTGCATGGACACAGATGCACAGATGCACAGACATGTAGCGATCCACGCGCTACAAAGGTAGCTTGTACGGCCCGCGAGTGGCAATCACGAGACGAACGTGAATGATGTGAACTGTGGCCCTGACAGTTGTGAATAAAGAAGCAGCACACAGAATGGTCTTGTCAATCGGACCAGGGTTCACTGGCCTTTGAGGGCCACTGGCAAGGCATTCTTGAATCCTCCCCCACTGTATTTGATTGGATTATGCAGGGCGGTAGGGCGCTGTAGGAGCGCGAGGGAGACCCAAGTTCGAGCAAAAAAGGGCGTTCACATTGTGTGTAGGCGCAGCACCTTTAAGTACTCTGGGGCCGGATGGCCACAATATCACATATGATATGTGCAAACATGCTATTTTTACACATGTATGACTTACACGACCTTCTTAGAGCCATCGCGCATTGAAGTCAGGTGCACCTTCAATATCTTGACCGGAGAAGGAATTGGCCGCGAATGTGAGTGGGGCTCCAAGCGGAAAGCCTGCAGCAGATATCTGTGCCTTTTCCTTCTATTTTTTCATGGATTGCTTCAAAGGCATAAATCTTGAAGGTTCTAGTTTGGAGATATACAGAAAAGGTTGCACATCAAGTGCAGGTTATGTTTCTTCTAATTTAAGAAGAGCACTTGTGCAAGATGGCATGGTCAACCACTTCCGTAATTTGCCCCTGTCTCAAGTGTCAATGATGTCCCATTTTTTTAAAAACAATTCAATATATATATATATATATGTATGTATATATATATAGCTTTGATCTGCTCAACAATGTCATGAGATATGAAGGAAAGGCAGCTTGCATGCATGGGTGCTGTGCTGGAAGCAGACCGGGAGTGACACTGAAATAGACTAGTACGGCTGGCCGAAGAGATAGAGGGTGCATGTTGCAACGAAAGAGAGTCAACTGAAGTGCACGCGGTGCCCTACAGAATGACACACACACACACATTAGTCAATATCACATGTGAGAAGACTCATGGAGCGAGAAGCGTTTCAGATTTAATGACGTCATGACATGAAGACACGTTGACAAAACTATATGTGTGAAAAGTGCATGAGATTTGCCGGACTCTCAAACGTATCAGAGACCATCTTCATGCATAAATTGCTGTAGAAGCGAAGAGCAGTTTGAAGAGTAGAGTGTTGGCTGCTGTGGATTTCGAGTACAATATTTGCCAGTGGCAAGGTTGCGACACGGAATCTTTGCGAAATGCAAACATGGCAAAAGACAAGGAGAAGCAGAAGGAGGAGGAGGAGAAGGAGAAGGAGAAGGAGCACAAGGAGAAGGAACAAGGAGAAGGAGAAGCAGCGGAAGGAGAAGGAGAAGAAGGAGAACGAGCACAAAGAGGAGACAACCACACTTAGACAGGTCAGAGAGGCAAGAAGCGGCAAGATGCGACCCAAAGACCCAGAACCAACATTGTGTAATAAAGTCCTTCACAAGCAGCGCAGATTGGTCATTGGCATAGTCGGAAGGTTTGGAACAGAGTTTGTCTTGGACACGCTTCAGCCACAAAATCATCAGCTGCTGCATACTTCATTTTTATGGCGGCATGATTGTCTACTTCGGACAACACACGCACATATATTATATATATATTACAGTACACAAAAGGTATAGCAAAAAAAACCCGACAAGTATCATGTCAGACGGACGAGAAGTCCCCGAAACTGGTCCACCATGACCTGTCTAATGATAGTGGCTTTTCTATTCTCAAGAAAGACCCCTCCACATAAGAACATTAGACGTCTCGTGAAATCTCATGCACCTAAATTCATTGGAAGACTCAAATTCAACAATTGTGCCCCATACGCACTACGCGCATGAAAGAGAATCGTGGGTCACAACAAAGCTACTTGCGCCCAAACAACGGGCTTCTCAGCTGTCTAAATGTCCTTTTTTGCGCTGCAAGAAACCCAATATGCCTGCCAGTCAACCTCTGAGTGAGGCGTTGTCTTGACGCGCTGAATAAGACACGGGGTCGGGGAAACGCATTGTGTGTTGATGCTGCCCCCAGAGCAGGCGGAGTCACCATAGCAAAGCTTAGGAAACTGCTGAGGGCGCCTTGACCCTGGAACAAGGCTGACCTCTTTTCTTCTAGAAGAACAAAGCTTTACGGGCCACAAAATCCGATCAGTTAGACGGGCCGTCACATTATAATTGAAGACAACTGTGTCAGAGTGGTCAAGACATGGAAGGCACAGTGTCTTGTGAACAGCAAGATTTTAGCTGCGCGAAGGTTTCTCCATATATATAAAAGGCACTTTTCTGCATGGCTTCCAAGGTTTCAGCATGTTGGAAAGAAGATTGTTAACCCGTATGGCAACATGCAGGCTGGTACTTTGCGAGACGTGCACTTGCATAAGCTTTTTGGGGTGTCTGTAGTTGTTTTTCAATTTGAAAAGCACTGCTGCTTGTGGTGGAGTGCAGGCAACCTTTGTAGAGCACGACAAGGAGGAACGCCATCGAATCAAGAACTCACTACACAGGTTTTTTGAACATCCTGCTCCCCACAAGGAGGCCCGTGATGGTCGGTGTGGTTTTGGTGTGATGCCTTTGCGTCTCCTGCATCTCTTTCTCAGCACACCTTTTTAAAGAAGGTGAGATCAGCAAACCTCTTCAACGAAGGGCTGCAGCAAACCTTGAAAGAGTCGGCTATTTTGGGCTATGGCAGGCGCTTCTCAATTTGGCAGTTTTGATAATGAACCTGCCAGTTGTAGCAAACAGTTATCCCGACAGCCTCACTGCTGAACAAATTTGGGTTCGACTCGACAGGAGTGGTGTTTCTCGCACCAGAGCTCGATCGCCAGCGCCTCTTTTTGAAGCTTGCGGTGAGGTCTCTCGGAGTTTGTGCCAGTCCAGGTGTGGGGTGGCGGACAATTTCGCACATCTTCATGCCCTGCCTCCTGAACCTGACTATGCTCGGCGGCCTAATTTGTGTTTTTGGATGCTGACGAGAGAAAAGTATTTGGTTTCAGTAGCTTCAGAGATGGCACAAATCCCAAGAAGTGGAACCAAGGAACTCAATCTAGTAATCTAGTATTGTTGGGTTTGTGCCATTAATTGATTCTGACGCCACTCTACTGACTCTACTGCTCGTCCTGTGGTCCGTGTTCTTTTTTCTGTGATTTTGACACACAGTATTCTTTCATTTGTGAAGGAGGCTCCACGGCATGGCAACGCGCGGCAAGCTCAGTTGTAGTTGTTGTGCACCGTGAGCCATGTTACCAAGGCCCAGTAAACAAATTGTATAGAGTGTATGCATATATATATATACACATTTTATGCGTATGGTACCCTCCTATGATTGCTTTATCGGTACTGTTTGGAGGGAATTCTATTGATTTTTTGGAATGTGCGTTTGTATACTTTTTGGATTAGTACCTACCTGGAACCAAACCAAGGTTTCATTTTGGTTTCAGTTTTTTCAATTAGACAGACACATGTTTTTGTTGTCAATATGCGCTCTCCGAACACAAAAAAACACAGAAAAGCACAACTTTTGTTGTTTCTGGGCGCGTGAAACCCAAAGAAACGAGCAGCACAAGGGCTTTTTTGTTTCTGTGATGGGAGATTGTAGGCTGGAAAATCTTCAAACACTTTTATTTAACCACCGTTGGCGTGTGCCGCCGGCCTCCACGGCTGAATGCTGCCGCATGTGTGCAGAGGAGCAACGTGTCGTAAGCAAAATAAATGCGAAGGGGAGCTAGACTGAAGGCAGGGAAAGACACAAAACAAAGAAACGGCAAGGGCTAAGCGGGTGAAGGGAAGGCAAATGAGCAACATGTAGCAGCAAAGCACAACCAAGGGAGCTTGGCTCAAGGGTGGGAGACGCAACGCAGAGAAACGGCCAGGGGAGGGGAAGGGGCGTGTGGAAATGCAGAGGTGGGAAAAAGTCGCGAAGAAGGTATATAACGTAAATCATGAGTGGGCTTAGACCGGGGCTGAAAAAGGTAAAAGGTCACTCTAAAGCCACTCTACTCTAAGATTTCGCAAGGCTTATAGGTGTTGAGGAAAGGGGTCGGTGGCAAAAGGGTCTGTCGAGGCCTGTATGATTAGACAGTGCGCGGGCAGAAGGGGTGAGGTGGGAGAGCTGCGGGGAAAAAACGCAAGGTCTTGTCCTATAGCATACGGTGGTTTGGTAAAAACCGTGGCTTGATGTGAACAGTCGTTGGTGTAAAGTGGGGCGCGTTGCAAACTATGGTTGGTGCAAGCCGCGGTTCGGTGTAAACGGTGGTGGGTGCAAACCGTGGTTTGGTGTAAACGGTGGTGTGGTGCAAACGGTGGTTGGTGTAAACGGTGGCGTGGTGTAAAGGGTGGTTGGTGTAAACCTTGGTTTGGTGTAAACGGTGGTTGGTGTAAACCATGGTTTGGTGTAAGCGGTGGTGGGTGTAAACCGTGTTTTGGTGTAAACGGTGGTTGGTGTAAACCGTGGCTTGGTGTAAACGGTGGTTGGCGTAAACGGTGGTGTGGTGTAAACGATGGTTGGTGTGGTTGGGTGTACATGGTGGTTGGTGTAAGCTGTGGGCAAAATGCTTTTGAAGCCATGGCAGAACGCTGTGAAGCGCAAGCAAAGCAGAGGCAACACGCGTGCAGAACGACGACGACGGCGGCGGCGGCGGCGACGACGAAGACAACAACGTGCAAAGCGGGGCGTGGGGGAGGGGGGTGGGGGGGGGGGGGGGGGGGGGGGGGGGGTCAAGTTAGTCGAACCAAAAATCCGTGCAGAGGAGTAGAGGAGCAATCTAAAGGATGAACAATTAGTTTTAGTATTAAGCATGAGAAGACAACTACAAGTACAAGCACATCCACAAGACACGCCGGCAGGCCGGCGGATTGGGGTTGTGGAAGAATGAATGTAAAGAAAAGAATTATGTATTCCAAAAAGAAACACAATCTTTGAGGCTAAAACCAAAGACTCTCCTCAGAGTCTTATTCTTGATCTAGCTCTTGGCTCTTTGATAGCCGGCTGGTATTTTGAGCCTTTCTTGGACAATGGGATATCATGTTATTTGAATACAATCATTTGTAGTCAAAATAAAGTCACGTTGACGGTCGACGGATGTTGCCTTTGGAAATGAACAGACTTTTATTTGCAATGTTGCAACAACTTTCAACCATGTTTTTTTCACCAACAGCGGGCTTGGGGGTCTTTAGCGTTGGCCACAGTAAAGATTTCGGAGCGAGGAAGTTGCAACCGGAACAACTTCTGGAGCAGGTTCCGGAGAAGTTCCGGAGCAGGTTTAGGATTCAGGAGCAGCAGCTTCAAGAGCAGGTTTGGGAGCAGGTTCCGGAGCAGGTTCTTGAGCAAGTTCCTCTGAAGCAAGTTCCAGAGCAGGTTCCCGTGCAAGTTCCACAGCAGGTTCCTCCGAAGCAAGTTCCGGCCAGAGTAAGTTAGGGTATGCAGGTTCCTGGGCGTTGGGAGGCGCCGGAAGAAGTTCCGGAACTTACGGTCCAAGTTGCGGATCAAGCTTCGCAGCAGTTCTTAAACTCTGCAGATATGCTAAGATGCTGCTGTGCTGACGTTGTCATGCCGTAGTGCTGAAGTATCAAGTTGCCACGCTCCCATGGTCTGCGCTGTCACGTCAACACTGAACTATCTCGCTGCTCACTTGCGCGCAAGCTGTCATGCTGATGTGTTGTTGCGCCGATATTAATATGCTGACAAGTTGACATGGAGTCATGATGGCATGACGCTTGCCACGCTGGAACGTTGGGTCGCGATGTCGCGCTGACATGCTGACAGGCGCGAGAGCTGGCTCTTGCTTGTTGCAATCTTGTCATGTTTTCGCATGCGGGCGCACCATGTGTCATGCTTGCGCAGTGCATTGGAAAGAGCCGCGTGTTGCAAAGCAGTGCTGTTTTGCAAAGATGCACCGACTGTTAGCCGTGTTGCCATTGAGGAATACGCTATTTGGGATTCTTGTTCAAGGCCTTCTTTTTAAGTTGTTGAAACCAACAGTTCGCTATTAACGTTACCCCTGTCCACCTGCCAAGCGTCACATCGTGTGACAGTGCATCGTCTTGGGGTTTGCTGACTTTTGTGCGCAAACTGCTTAGTCTGTATCCTCAGATCACAAGACCCCAGGTGCCATGGCTCTTGTTTTTTCTAGCCTTTTGTAGCTCTGTGAGAATCCGAAACATGATGATGTAAACGCGGTGTGTCGCTTGGGAGCGGGTTGGTTGGCGGTGTCCACGAGGCTTGGTTTGACATTGTTGTATCTAGTCTGCAATTCAATTGACACTTTGGGATGCGCGTTCAGATCCGAGCAGGGAGAAGGCATTGAAGTTCGCATTTTTAAACGCAATACTTCTAACTTCTTTTGCTGATATTTTCAATTGGCAGGTATCATGGTTTCTACGGGTTTGTCATGTTTGTCAACCCTGTGCCCGCTTGGCTGATTCCCTCTCACCAGCCTTCAGTTGTAGATCGGAAAACCACCGTGACATTGATTGAGTTTACTTTTTACTTCACCCTTCTTGCTGTTGGCTGGGCCCGCGGAGGCGCACAGAAAAGGTGACATATTTTCTTTTTGACATGATCATTTTTCCAAATTTCCTTCGACATGATAGCACAACTTTGGATAACAAGGTTCTTTACTTTTAGAAATCTATTTCAATAAAAAGGATATCCTTTTGGCGTGAAAAGAACCCCCTTCATAATCAAAGTATTTCCTGCTTTTGACAATTTAAACTATATGACAGAATGTGTCTGAAAAAGAGAGGGTGTCGAGCACCACCATTGTATCTTGAACCAGTTCTACATAGTTTTAGGGTTCCAAATGTCTTGAATGTTCTGTATAGCATATTTGGGAAGTTGGGAAGTAAGAGGCAGGAAGAAGAGTACACAGCAGAAGACTTTTGAATACATTTTGTTCAGGCACCTAGGTGTACTGTGCTTCCCATATGTGGTATGTGCTGTATTATTTTTTTTTTCGGTGAGCTGGGAATACGAGCCAAATAGATTATCAAAATGTATACTGTAAGAAAAACTCATTGAAAAACGTTCAAAAGAACATCACAAAACAGAAAACTCACACCTACACACAGTCGAAAACTCGCATAAAGGGAGCTGAAGGAAATGTCTTGCAAGACAAAAGAAGGCTTTGAACATGGTAGGCTTTATGAAAGAGAACCCAATTCCAAGACACATACGCATATTCAACCCCTATAAAATTCAAATTGTTCTCTGAGACACCAACCGTCTCGGCCGCCAATCACATAGCAGGCTATACAACCACATTTGCTAGCCACATGTGACAACCATATCAAAGATGTGTACTGGGTGGAGGGGCGAGCATGCTGAACAGCTCTTCTTGGACTGGATTTTTCCTCGCCTCAACTTTTCGATCCATTTTGACAGGAGTCAAATCATTTTTGGCTGAGATCAATAATTCAGTAGCGTGCGGACCTGGCAGAAAACTTGTGCCTGAGTCGTTTCACCCACGGAGGCTGAGAAAGGGCACAAGAAAGGCACTAGTAACCTCAATTTCTGATGAACCAATCTGCAGTGTTGTAACAACATGGTTTTTGTTCTGGTGCTTTGGTGACCTTCACTTATGCTTGTACCAGATCTGTGCCAAAGGCGCAGGGAGGAGTAGCAGCAGCCCTAGTTCAGTGTAAACAAGTTGCTTCGGTTGAGCAAATTCATTCGTATATCCTCTCTACAAAATCAAAAATGGTTCTGTGTCGTGGCTCAGAGCAGAGGGCTGGGAGGAACTTATCATGGTTAGACGCGAGCTAGACTGTTCAAACTGCCTGATTGTTGGAAAAACTGCAAGCAGTCAACGCAGACTTTGTGAGTTGTGGCATTGGCAATGGTCGACCGCTTGCCAGTAGAGGAAGGATGGGTCTATGGCCAGAAGCCGAAAGAGCCAGAGGTGCTGATATTAAGTTGTAAGGAAACAAAAACTTCATAGCAAGAATCAAAGTGGACAAATAATATCGATCATTTGCACTTCTATATTCTCACAGGCTCCACCGGACCTTGACAGTCTCTTTGAAGCTGCGGGGGGTGCGAGAACTCAAATCACATCTTGT